TCACTCTTTTGGTTATATCACGATTTGAGAAATAATTCTTTTTTTAAGTAATGTAATTTATATAAACATAATTGAGACGCTTTTTAAAAATTTCTATTTAAATTTCATTGTTCTTGAGTTTTAAACTGTTTTCCTTAGTCTTTAATTATTGCTTTTCAACTTTTTTTTTTTAATTTTATTCTCTTTCGTTTCATGGAAAAATTGCATAAAACCTATTTCATTCGGAATAAATTGGCAACATTGAATTGGAAATTTCTGTAAATTCATGGACTCATGAAGAATTGAATAGTTATTATTTTCATGAAAAACAATTTAATCTCTATATACAATTATTCTTTTAAGTTTTGAAAATAAAAAGTAACGTTCGAATAAATAAAAATTAAATGCGTGTACAAAAAAAAAAAAAAACTAAATACACAGATGAACTCGTTTCCAAGAAACAAAATTGTAATTTAAAATTTTGTTAAACATCCGTCGTTGTCCTCGTTAATAAAATTAAGCATTTGTGTATCCATTAAAACTAGTTCCTACAACTGATTATTAATCTACATTAATAATATTATTTTAATAATTAATATATACCAATTCCAATCTTTTGACAATAATAATTTTTTAATCAATACCATATCAATTTTAATCTTTTAAATCACTCATTATTTGAAAAAATGTTTCAGACAAGTCTTGTTATATGTTATGGGGGTAGTAATTCGATGTTTATAGCTGGCAGATTTCAAGGGGTTAAGTTAATTTTTTGAAATTGAATCCTATATTTCTTTATACATTACTCGATATATTTTTCTATTCTCTATAAAAAAAAAGAAAGGATTAAGCTACTTGTGTCGACAAACTATTAGTTCAGGAAATATTTTAATTTTATAAAATCTGTACATTAAAAGCAAGGACAGTGTGAATATTATCCTTGCGTTTTCTTATATATAATATATATTTATTATATATATATATATTAATGTAATTATATATAATATAATATAATTGTATATTAATATACATTATATATACAATATATATATATACGTAATATACAAATATGTATTATGTATTATGTATATATACATACTATACATATTGTATATAATGTATTAAATATTAATTACTAAAATATACAATTTGTTGTTGAATTACAAATTATTAAGTCTTCACTCATAGTATAATATTAACGAGATTTTATTTTACTACTTTCATCTATGGCGTTTTTATTTTTATAAGTATCAATAGACAGTTAATTTTGAAATATATCTGGATCTCGTTTTATGTAAATCCGTACTGTGTAAAATAAAATCATGTCAAGAAAAGTTAATGACAAAGAAAATGGAAAAAGGAATTAGTATCTTCTTCTAAGAAATCCGTAAAAAAATTGGTATCTCTAAGAAATCGGTATTTTATTTTGTGCCAGTTGCAATGACATCACTCTCATTTCTTCTTTTCGTAACTTTCCATTATTATATAATTATATAATTTTTTTTAAATTACTTTGAAATCGTGTAGATCATTCAATATTAGAATCACTTGCAATGAAACGACGTTCTAATTTACCAGCTAATTGTAGTCCTTCCTCAATTAAACTTTCACACATAGAAATATTTCCATTAACATTATTCAATTAATCTTTAATTATATTTCAATTATTTTTAATTGAATTGTTTTATCGTGCAACTGTAAACAGAACGTTTAATTTGGAATAAAACTTAGGTGTAAAAGAAACTGTATAAATATAAATGATGTATGTAGAAAAATCATATAATTGTGAAATACCGTTTAATTATGAAAGAAAATGAAACCAACGTATTTATGATTTTTAGACCCTATATATTTGCGATTTTAAATAACTTCTAAAAAAATAGTTTGATAAAGTAAATCATGAGTCCAATGAGATGAAGGTAATTAAATTATTTCTATTCAAAGCCCAAATATTATTCATTTTTCTCTGTACTTCTAAAAGTTATATAATACAAGATACCGAAAAGAAATACGCCTTGTTGCAATCAATTATAACTTTTCAATATGTAGAAATCGAAGTGCTTACTCATTCAACATTGATTTTTCCATTTAAATATCTTTGCACGATACAAATTTGAACTTATAAGCACAGTTGAGCTTTTTAAAAATTTCAATTTAAATTTTCGTTGTTCTTTTTGAAGTGTTTCCCTTAGTTCTGCTAATTATTGCTAACTAATCCATGTTTATCAAAAACATTATGAATTAATGTAACCATAGAAATTTACTAAATGATCTACTATTTTTCTAATTTAGTGTATCTTGAATTTTGATTGTAGCATCAGGGTCAGCGTTTCTTGAGACGTTAGACTGTATCGATTTCTGTAATCTCAGAAACTCTATACATGAGAAGTCTTCCGAGATCTACTATTTAGTCTCCTAATCCTGCAGCTCTATGTCTCCTATGTGGGCGATGACAATGACATGACAACGTTGAGTATTATGTTTTGTGATCTCGGTAGTCTTCGGCAAAGCGTGTTGTGATTTTGTAAAGACTTCAGGGTACCACCGTTTCAAAGCTTCCAACATTAAATTTTCTTATTCCGCTAATATTCAGTTTCACAGACGAGCTCTTAACCTTAATGGCACATAATATCATACTTTTGATTCTGTAATACCATACTTAATACGGTCACGCTCGAATTATGAAAACAAACGTAATTTTATTACTATCTGCAACTGGGTTTTTTCATATCGGAAAATTATCAAAGATATAAGATATAAATAAAGATAAAAGGATAAAAGATATAAATGTCAAATCATTTTTGGAAAGAAATTATTATAAAACAGAAATGATTTTGAAATTCAATATCTGTTATAGTATTTTTTTAATATTAGCGACAATTTAAATTTAATTCTTAAATCTAAATATTTACTAGCGTTTAATAATAGCGTACCAACAATCAAGAAATTTTTATTATCCTGCAATTTTATTAGAGTATGTATGTAATACAAATTTTTATAATTATATTTTATCCGTATTCTTTATTTTTAAAGAAGCGTGACTTATAATAAAAACTTTCTCGGATTATATTTTTTATTTTTAAATTTTAATTGGTTTATACATTAATTTTGAAATTTTTAGTTTGATTTAATTTTATTACTAAAATCTTTAATTTTATTAATAAAATAATTTTATTACTAAAATTTATTACTATCAAAGAGAATGTAAAATATAGAATAAAATCTACAATTGAAATTTTTATAATTTATAGTTATTGCTATATTATAAATATTATGTAATGTAATATTATAGTAATATAATAATATTACTATTTAAGGATTAAGAATCAAAGTAATCGAAAATTGATTTTTGTTTATTACTGAAAGTCTTCAGTTTAGAGAATTTTCATTTGGCCAGCTACAATTTTTTAAATATTCTCAGTCATACAAAGACAATGATCTTAGATTTTAATTTTGGAAAAGTCAAATGAAGTTAAATACAAATAAATCATAGAGCATTATGAATAAAAATGGAATAAACTCAATACTTATTAAATTGAGCAATTTATGCAAAACAAAAATATACTGCAACTGATATTATTACATATGAATTTTATTTAGAGAAGAAAAAATTTTTTCACTTTTATATGACTGATGACAATATAAATTATTTCAACAATTCAATGATTATATTTCTATAATAGTTATTTTATTAAAGTTATCAATTTAAGCTATAGAGCAGACAGAATAGTTTCATTATTTTTGATATGAATCATGTACAACATAATTTAACTACCTAAAATCCTTGGGATTCTTTAAATTTTAAATATCGTTTCGCTTGATATTAGAATCATTAGCACAGATTCGTACAAATTCTAGTGCCTTTAACGTAACATGAGAGGATAATTCATAGTGACGGGTTTGTCAAGCATTGTGGTCGCCAATATCATGCTCTGCGAGATCATAGTTTGTCGAATCACATGTCACATCCCCAATATTGTCAGTATCGAATGCAACACGTTTACTGATGTTAATATCGGATTCCGTAACCTTGACGTCTTGCAAATTCAGTCCCACAGGTCCAACGTCAATTCTGTCGTGTTCTATTAATACGTTTTATATAGGACGATTTTTACAAATTTATTCCCAGTGACGAAAATTTTAAAATTTCAAAAGATTTCTTTCTTGTGCTCAATTGCATTTCAACTTGCTCAAATAGTCCTTATCGAACGATTGATATTAAATTTAATTGATTGACATTCACTGAATTATTGTTTAACATTGAAATTATTAATTTAATGAGAAATAATTTAAAAATTAACGATGTATCGATCAAGATATATCGAGCATATTAAGTCAAGTCTACATAGTGCATGCCTCAAGAATCGTCGTTAAAGAATCAATTATTTAATACTAATCAGTTATCTAAATTTTGTATAAGTTACTTTTTTCTTAATATTTGATATACTTAAAGATTTTTATGTATTTTTAAATTTCTCAATATATAATGATTTTTATGTATTTTTAAATTTCTCAATATATAATGATTTTTATGCATTTTTAAATTTCTTAATATATAATGATTTTTACGCATTTTTAAATTTCTTAATGTATAGTGATTTTTATGCATTTTTAAATTTTTAAAATATAATGATTTTTATGCATTTTTAAATTTCTTACTATATAATGATTTTTATGCATTTTTAAGTTTCTTAATGTATAGTGATTTTTATACATTTTTTAATTTCTTATTATATAATGATTTTTATGTATTTTTAAATTTCTTAATATATAATGATTTTTGTGCATTTTTAAATTTCTTAATGTATAATGATTTTTGTGCATTTTTAAATTTCTTAATATATATTTTTAAATTCTTACAATTTGTAACTACTAAAGAAACAGAAATTCATTTTATTTATTATGCGTTGTAATAAATATCTTACTTGAGACATTTTATATATTTTTGATATACATATTTTTATGTATTTCTAATAATGATAATAACAATGAATATATGATATTATTAGAATTGACATTACCTTATTCTGACAGGGGTAGAAAAAGACGCACGGCCCCACATAATTCGACGCAACTCCTCCCCTGTGATGCCACGCTTTTTCAATTCATTTATCGTCACTTTGCCTACACGCTGTAAATAAAAGGCAGGAAAATCAGACATAAAAAAGTTAAATTAAAAATAACACAATAAAAGGAATTAGATTATAAATTCTACGAGAAGAAAGTTGCAAACTAAATTAATACTGATGATGCAAACTAAATTAATCCTTTTACCATAATTTCATAAAAATTCCATAATATTAATCCCTCATGAGTTCACTGAATTTTATGAAATCGTGAATTTCAAAAAAGGCACATTTTTATTTTATTCGCTTGCTACTTAATAAATAAATAAATAAATAAAGTATTTTTAAAAATTACTATTTCTATTTTATAATAAAAAAATTATGTAAAATTCAGCTACATAACATTATATTTACACAATATAATAAACTACGACTTTAAGAAATATTCGCTACAATATATATATAGTTTTAATTGTTATTATTGCATATAATATTTTCAAGTAAATTGTTAGTTATTTCTTCTTTTTTTTTTAAGCCAGTTTAATAAGTTAACAGGATCGTTTTTGATTGAAATATTCTTTATTTACGGAATTAGCGATTATATAAATTTCAGTTAGCTTAAATATGATACAAATTATTAATAAATTTATAATATAAATAAATCAGTAATTATGAAAAATATATCGTTAGCGACAATGGATGTATACAAAAAATAAAGTTTGTAAATGTTATTTTTATAAAAAGAGAAAGTTTTTGTTTAAATTTTTATAAAAAGAGAAAGTTTTTGAAGATATTTAAATTATAATTAACTTTTGTTGAATAATAATTTTATAGTAATTTTATTATATCTTCCATGTAAATAAAATAAATGATAAATAAACAAAATTATAAATTATATGAATTTTCCAGAATCATTCTTACTTGACACTATTATATGCAAATATGTTCTATCAAGCATAAAAAAATATTTATATTTTGAATATGTATTTAAAATACGATCTTCCAAATATCATTAATATAAAAATGTTTATAAACCATTGTTCGATCTTGACAAATTAAATTATTGGCTTTTTCTATAACTAAAGCATAATTAAATAGACCACTTATTAATTACTGTACAGACGAAAGAATTTCTTTGAATTAATTGACAATTTTTATTCTTATAACTGATTATTAATAGTTTTCAATTAATATCTATTTTAAATTAATAAATGAGTGAGCAAAGCGTGATATTCAAAAATTAATTTATTATTTTGAAATTTCCTTCGAATTAATAGTCATGATCGTATTTTAATTTAACTTACTACAATTTTATTTATATTTTTTTAGCCCAAACATGTTATGAAAAATAATGAATATCATTTCGTACATGCGAAGTTTAGAAATAGTTGTAAACATTAGTTAATTCAAATGGAAATTAATATAGAAGACAGAGAAGACAATACACAAGAAACAGTTGATTAAAAATCGGCTACATTCGTATAGAATCAATCAAAGTATACACAATTACGTATTCGTGCGAACGAGGAAAAGAAATGAAAGAGGGAAATACATCACCTTCCAATTAGCCACCGCACCTTTGCGTTGCTTTGCTTTGGTTTTTGATTTACTTTTAATAACCAGAACACCACGCTGCTCTGAAGCAGGATTGTTGTCATCTCCAGGTCCCAATTTAATACTGTATTCTTGCAAATAATTCTGCGCATCCTTCTGCGAGACTGCACGCTCCAGTGACACTACGATTTTTGCCCACTGCAACCGATTAATTAATTAAATAATATTAATATTATTTAATATTAATTAATATTAAAATCTAACACAAATGTGGACACTTTTTAAATTTGTCTGGCATTTCATCTTAAGCTTCTAATTAACGATTAAATTTAAAATAAATAATAAAATATACAAATAAATAAAATGTATGTCAAAACTGGTATTCAAAGTAAGATTTTTATTAAATTCTTTGTTAAATTCTGTCTTTTCGCTGAGTTTTAGTGAAGGTACATATGTAGTTGTAAAAGAAAATTCTCTTTTGTTACTATTTTGAAAGAATTTCATTTTTAGGCTTTCTTGTATAATTGAGATAAATTTTATAAGTTACAAATTGACTTTATTGTTAATAAAGTTTCTTACATGATAGCAACATGTTTGTCAATATGATGAATAAAATTTAAGGAAACGTATTAGTAAATGAATTTCAAAAATTACGAACAACTAATCTTATTCGAAGTAAAATTTTCCAATCTCGCAAATTGTATGCAATAGGGATTAGAATTTATTGCTTTATTCATATTATCAGTTAGTAAATTATTATATAAAAGTATCCTGATAATAATTTTTATTAATTATGAAAGTACGATTTTATTCAAGAACTGCAATATTAATTTCAATTCAATTTTTCGAGACTATTTTCATACTTTGCTAGGCTAGACTTTCACAAAATTTTCAGATCACAGAACTTAAGTATAGAATATAATACCAATTTTATTCTGTTCCCTCAACTCTCAAAGTACGTTCTCCAAGTATTAATCAATTTCTAATTTATAATGAAAATAAATATACGACACAATCCCACTTGTACGACAACTTTACAGTATTGTAATAATACATATACAAAAAGGTTAGGACCAAACTTAGACTATGTACGTGTTACTGAAGTCAAATAGATGAAAATAGTTCAGATAAAATTATGTCCGAAGATGCTTTATTGAAAAGATGTAAGCTTTCAAAGATATTTATGATTTATTGTGACAGTTATAAGAAATGCTCGAAAATTCCTCCTTCTGCAAGAATGCAAGCTTCCATTCGTCGAATTAGTGATTGTCCAACTCTTTCAAATATTCCATTTGCATTCGAAATAATAGTAAATGCATTTTGAATACATTCCCAAAGTTGATCCTTCTGTTTCTATCGTATTTTTATAAATCAACTCTTTCGCATGACTCCGTGAATAGAAGTCGAGAGGCGTTAAATTAAATTAAATTAATCTGATTTCTTCCATTATGATGATAGAGATCTTGATGCCATAGGTCAGGACATGTAAACGATAATCTTATTGAGAATTTGTAATACGTATACGATTCTGTACAACGAATTGTAACACGAATTTTATCCATAAATCTTTGAACGCTTATATCTTTTCAATAGCATTTTCGGACATAAGTTTATATGAACTTTCTTCATAAATTTGACCTCAGTAACACGTAGTCGAAGTTTGCTCCCCTGTATAAACCAAAGATTAACCTCTTGCGCTGGAATGACGTGCCACGCACGTCGACAACTTTCTTTTGTTCCAAAATTTGTAATATTTTCCCAGTTTTAAGTACAGTTAAGTAAAATACAAAATAGGCGAAACAAATGATAAATTTATTACTTCTCGATAATTTCTATCCAGCGATATCGTACCGACGAGTTCAGAAAGAAAGCGACGAATTATTGCATACGGTTCGGTCACTCGTTATGGTCCGCAATCAGTTGCCAGCGCAAGTGGTTAAACAAACAACATGACACGTTGATCCATGAAATCACCGATTAATTATACTTGTATGGCTGTGCAAACATTTACTTGCTTCACCCATTCCTTTTCGCTCTGTTCGATCACGTGCGCGTAAGTGTTGCCCATCATCGCGATCAGCATGTTCAACAGCAGTATGGGTACCAAAACCATGAATATGGCGAACACCATCTTCGATAAATTAGGGTAGGTCGTGTAGCCGAGGTCCGTATACTGAAACGAACAATCGTTTGCCTCGTTATTGGTATCATTTCCAACACGCTCGAATGACTTGGTAACGCGACACCGCGACACGGTGCAGCGGATCGATAAAAATAATCGTGCCGCAAGCAAAACTTGCACGGCCATGGATTTTTCAGTGGAAATCCAGCCGGTTCTTCTGCTGGCTTCGCGTGTTTAATTCGACGACTTGTTAGACCAACTGTGAAACCGAGCAACAATTTTTAGCGGGCATTCTACGTTTTATAAATGTGGCTATGTCTACAGATGCTAGTAGCAGTGTTGGCACGGTGTAAAATCTTTAATTACACCGTTCCTGTTTTGTTTCTATTTTTAAGGAAGAGGAGAAAAGGAAACACCGCGGAAAATAGCGAAATAGACGGAAAAATATAATATTATTCGCGCAAACGAGAACAGACGATCCGTGATTGAAATTCAAGATTAATGTAGACCATTTCGTTTCATAAAGCGAAAAACACGACGGCTCTGCCAGGTTATCTACTCGCTGCAATTAAATTGATGTCATAATTTTCTGATGTTTCGTAATTTTCAATTTTTTGTCATTTTATGTCATACCTTTAAAAAGATTACATTATCTTATTTTCCTATGATCATCAATTTTTTAAATTGTTTTGCAGGTTGTGTTTATGCATGTGACTTCTCAAGATTATAACATGTTTTATATAATTTATTGACACAAATGACGACTATCGCCGTCATACATATTTAGATAGTGAAATAAATTTATGAGTTACTACTCTCAAAATCCAGTCAATCATTTTTCCATTAAAAATGACTTGTACTATATAAATATATTTCCATTGCCAAAATCAACAGTCAATGGAACAATTTGAAATGATCATATTGAGTTAAAATGATTATATTATAATGACTAAACATTTTTCATCAACTGAAGATTTTGACAATACAATTGTCTTTATATAGCATAAGTTGTTTTTAATAAAAAGTTAATTACATTGGTTTCTGAGCTCTCCATATGTATCTACATATTTTCAACAGATATAGTATTTAATTAAAACTTGACGGTATCTAAAAAAGAATTTATGCTATTTATTATAATATTAATGTTTTGAATTTTTTATATTAACTCAATGTAGTTTTGCAAGAGATTTAAAAAAAAGTGTGTTTTTGAAATTTGTGTTTTCAATTTGCGAAAATTAAGTCTATACTGAAATAGGATAAACAATGTATAATAAAGAAACCTAGACGATATACTATAACTGTTTTACTGTTTTAAATGTTTTCAAACTTAACTCTTATTATTAACCCTTAGCACTCATTTTTCTAACTTAATTTGTCTCTTGATATCAAATTGACACAATAGTAAAAAAAAATTAATACTTATAATGAAAATTTGATTTAAATTTTTTATTAACAGTATATAGACTAAATTTTTTGTTTCGTTTTATATAAAATTCACATAAATTCTACATTCAGGTATAGACGTTCAATTTTACATTGTTATTGTGTCAAATTGACACAATAGTAAAAAAACTAATAAAGAAAATTTGATTTAAATTTCCTTATTGACAATAAATGAACTAAATTTCTATTTCGTTTTACATAAAATTCACATAAATTCTACATTCACGTTCAATTTTACATTATCTTATATATTCTAGTTTTGTCTAACGTTATGATCATTTGTTTCACGGATTTTTATCCGCAACAACTATATTCAAAACTATAAATACCCGTACGCATCTTCCAAATTGAATGGTGATTCATTGAATGCATAATTATCATTTAATAATTATAAGGCAAGGCTTATTTTTCAAATACTCTGAAAATAAATATCAATTGCAACTCTGGCGACATATTTTCTTATTAAAAATGTTTAAAAAAATTAATTAACTCAATAATTATAAGGCAAAGATTATTTCTCAAATTCTCTGAAAATAATTTTACATTATCTTACATATTCTAGTTTTGTCTAACGTTATGATCATTTGTTTCACGGATTTTTATCCGCAACAACTATATTCAAAACTATAAATACCCGTACGCATCTTCCAAATTGAATGGCGATTTATTGAATGCATAATTATCGTTTAATAATTATAAGGCAAAGCTTATTTTTCAAATACTCTGAAAATAAATATCAATTGCAACTCTGACGACATATTTTGTTATTAAAAGTGTTAAAAAGATTAATTACAGAGTATCACCCAAATGTACCAAAAGAAGGTGTCGAAATAATCGAATGCACAAAAATATCGATCTTCTTAATTTTTCAGTGTCTCAATTCAAATACTTATAAAAAAAAAAATTCCCTAATTTCTACCCATATTTCTTTTCTTTTTTTTATCAAACTCATAGACAAATATTCCATCCATTTCTTCCGTTTCACAGAAATTCCCTCCCCTCTCGTCGTTGGGCGGTATATAATCGATTCGTTAATTACTCGAAAGATACACGAGATCTCGGTGAGAAAAACGCGGCGTAGCGCGTTATTTTCTAGCAGGCCTTTCGTTGAATGTAATTCAATTAGCCGCGGATACAGTGCACGCGTTCCGAATTGTCTTGATATTTCATCGGTGAAATTCGATTAATTGAAACGCACGAAAACCACGCCGCGAGGCGAACCAATTTTTCCCCAATGTGCGTGCCCGGCTCGCAACTCGCGATCTATCGATCCCCCGAACGAGGGGGGAGGAAACGTTGCTCCTCGCCCCTTGGGTCGCTTTGCACGTACCTGGGGAATCGCACGTACCGCGATCGTTACATTAAAAATGAAATTTTCGCGCACGGTATTCTCAACCCGGGATAGGAGGACGATTTTTTTCTCGCAGCTCTTGTTTACAGTACGTCAATCTCGTTCAAGCATGGCTGAGAACCCCTTGGTACTTGAAAATTGAATTTTCGTGGAACCGGAGGAACACTTCTTTCGTGATATTGTTGTACCGGTGGTATCAAAGAATTATTCTTCCACTTTATTTATCTTCTTTCAAACCATCTCGTTCTTTCGTTTTCAACGGATGACGTGGAAAACGGAAATTTTCCTTGATAATTCGTTTTGTTGCAGCAGCTCAGTGGATTGGGAAATATTTACATTTGCGGACGATTGCGAAGGCAGAAACTACGTTGCCTTTTATTTCAAAAGGAAAATGGCGATCTGTGATACGACCGAAAGTATTTTGCTTTTCACTTTCTTTCGAGCATGAGTTTCATGTCATTAGAGGTTCATGTAATAAATGCATGATTTTTATTTTATACTTGAGAAATTAGATTAATATCTTTCTTTTCTTATGTAACTCTGTGTATGAAAATTTTTACATCTGCAACTTTTATCGAATAACTGTATAATTATTATAGAAATTACAAGTCAATAAAACTTTCTTCTTTATAAGATAGGAATTATCAGTATTTTATGTAAAAATATCAATTGCAAAGCTGGCCACTTTGAAACTGAAAACGTTTGTAATAACTAGATCACGGATACTTATACAAATTCATATTTTTACATAAACGATTAAAAGACCAAGAATTATAGAATGAATAATATATTCTGCATTCCTGCATTTCTGCGTTGTATACATTCTATGCATTTCTTTTTTGTATCTCATAATTTTCCATAAATGCATAAAATCATCGCAGTCCAACAATAATAATTCAGAAATCTATAAAAGTGGAAGATAAAAACAGAAAAATTACGTGTATACATGCGTACGACATAAATTAATATACTTTTGTATGTTTTCACAAATTTTATGCAATATAAATTTATCTCTCATTTGAAAATGTATATATACTGATATTATACATTCATTTGTTAATTCTCCTCAAGAGGAGAATTTATTTGTTAATATCAACAAGTTAATATTGACTAATAAACCTCAATAATTAAAAATATGAAATAATTAGTATATTTATAATAATTTATATATAATATGTATATAATAATAATAATATATTGTAATACCAGTTACGTACAAATTGAACTTCCAATTCAGATCTAATGTATATTACTTACAAATTCTATGTATATTTTTCGTACATTCGCGTATTTGTCATGCATATTTACGTGCATATTTTATAAATATATGTAAATTGCTTTTTGCATATTTTACGTGCATAAATATCCGCAGTCTAATTATTACAATCTGCTAATCACTCATTATACTCTTTAATAATCAAACGGTAGAATCATAACTAAACTGAATTTTTATAATAACCAATTATACAGAATGTTATGAATACTAAAATTATCGCATAAAATTTCTATCGTCAGAGATATTAAAATGAAGAAAAAAAGAAACTTTAAAATACGATAGAATATACATGCTTTTATTTATACGTTTTACGAAATCATCTTTTAAATTTTTGAAAATACACAATACAAAAATACAAAATATTTAAAATATATACATCTACAAAATTTCCAATAAAAATTATAAATTATGAGATGTAACAATACATCTATAAAATTTCTAATAAAAATCACAAATTGATCATTTTCACTACTTTCTGATAATTTTAATTAAATTATACACAACTTAAATTTAAATTTTTGATAAACCAAACGAATTAGTTTGAAAAAATAAGAGAAGAAAAATTTTGTCGCTCTGACAACGTTGTGGTTTCTTGCGATCTGAAACGAACCACGTTTAACCAGAAAAACACGAATGATAAGTATCTCTGATTGAAACTTAATTTGTGAACAGTGTTTAAATTCTTTCACGCTGTCGTAGGAACCGCGACGAAAAAAATTGTACGCCGCTGGGAGTAGCATTCTCCATTGACGTGCTAGTACAATTTGCCAAATTGCCTGATCCTTCTCAACATTCAACTTTTTTCTCCATTCAAACGCTGCTGGAATTGCATACATGTAGCTCGTATCAATTCGCGCGATTTTTAGAGAAAAAAGGAAAAAGAAAAATTGCAAACAAGTCATTGTTTATTCCGAACGACGAAAATTTTCTTTTACTCCTTTAAAACGTCACTTCATTTTACGTGCGCTGAAGAAAATAAGAATATTCTCAATTGAACTCTTGTATGACTGCGAAGACAACTGCGAAATGAATGAAAAGGTATTGAATCATCTTTGAGAATATAAAAGAATCGTACATGTAAACTAATGAAAGAAAAATAATGTGTATTTCTAATAATTACTGTAACTATAATTGTTGGATAGCAGTTTAATTTAAAAATCAAAAAAATCAATTTAAGCCATCGTAAAAGAAATTACTGAACTTTCTTCTTTCGGAAACTAATAATATATATACCATGACTAATAATATGATACAGATAGTCATTTCATGATGGATATTTTATCAATATCATTACACAGACAAGGTGTTTCGGTAATCGAGCTGGGAATGATTACTTACAGGAAAATAAATCAAAAATATAAAATAAAATTTTGTCATTTAAAGTTTCGTTTTTAAGAAAATCGTTGAAGGCTTGAAATATACATGAATTTAGCTAATTCTAGACGTGACAGAATAAAACAATTAACAGGAGATTATTTATTATTACGTAAAAACTAAGTCAGAAATATAGAATAAAATTTTTTTGTAAGATGCTTGGTTCTCGAGGAAATCAAGTTTGAAAATTTATCGAGTTTTTAAAATTTGTATAACAAATTTTAACGAAACACATTTAAAGTCTTCCTTAAAAATAAAGCTCTAAATGAAAAAATTTTATAAAAATAAAATTATATTTATTTCCTTAAAAATAAAGCTCTAAATGAAAAAATTTTATTTTCAAATTTTGATTTATTTTTGCATATCTCCCATCAATTATTCTTTTTTGTTACGTCTAGAATTAGTTAAGTTCAAGTACTTATTTGACAAATTTTCAACTTCGATTTCCTCAAAAACAAAGGCCTAAATATAAAAAATTTTATTCTATATTTTCGACTTATTTTGTCAAGTCTCGGAGTAATTATCCATTATCACCGTTGCTAGAAAATATAATAAATATCAGTAGAATGGACTCTATTTTTCGTCATCCATCATGCAAAAGATAGATACTGGATAATCACTTTACTGTACGAATAACACACAATCGACATGCGATTGCAAATAGCTCGATCGACTAAACATTTCACACTAAGAATCTCATCGCTATTGAGACAGTGAGATGCAGAGGAATTATTCTGCTATATACGTCTATATATGGATACTGTTGTGAATAAATTGACGCATTTATATTTAAACTACATATGAGGAGCTCAGAATAGAAATCAAATTTTCTTTCTTCAAAAATGAGATAAATAAAGAGAATGATACACAACATCAGTATATATAATACACTTTATATACAATTTTATAAGACAAATTTTCAAACTTTTACTTATGGTAACATTATGCATTATATTAATGCATGGAAGCATTAAACACTTTTGTATCGGAATTCAATTTTGCTTCTTTCAAATAAAACATTTTCTTTTTCGTATATAATGTATTCTGTTGCCTTGTGACAACTATAATACAAAGCGTAAGCATTTATACAGAGTGATCTAATAAGACTTATCACTTGAATTATATCTCCGAGATATGAAATCAAATTTTCTTTTTCAAAAATGAGATAAATAAAGAGAATGATACACAACATCAGTATATATAATACACTTTATATACAATTTTATAAGACAAATTTTCAAACTTTTACTTATGGTAACATTATACATTATATTAATGCATGGAAGCATTAAAAACTTTTGTATCGGAATTCAATTTTGCTTCTTTCAAATAAAACATTTTCTTTTTCGTATATAATGTATTCTGTTGCCTTGTGACAACTATAATACAAAGCGTAAGTATTTATACAGATCTAATAAGACTTATCACTTGAATTATATCTCCAAGATATGAAATTTATTAACAAAAGTTGTTCAATATAAAGAGGCTATGTGGCATTAATAATTTTGTAACTAGGAAAGTTTCGAAGATTTCAATCACGTTCATTTTTTTCAAATGGAACCATTAATCAATGCAGCTTGAGATTTTCTATGTTAAATGAATAAAATGAGATGAAAAAAATATCTTAATGTTTTTCTTTAATTTTGTTTGAAAAAAAGTATCTTCATTTTCCCACTTACTACTATGAAAAGCATTTTTGAAAATGAATTCAGAATTGTGATTTTCTTTCATGATATAGCAATATTAACAATTTCGTAAAACTAACTATGTCAGTGTAAACTAGAATTTAGAATTCCATGAAAGAAAATCTCGCTGAAATAAACATTAGAAGCAATATAGATGTAGAAAAACATAAAATATTCACGCTATAATACTCGTTATAGTAAACAATTCTTCGTCCAAGAAGTTCAATTTTCTTGATTGTTTATAGTTCAGAAAGTATGAATTTACATGAAAATACAGTCTATAGATAAGTGTAAATTTTTATAACTTTGAAATAATGAAAACTCGTAAAAACATCAAACGTATCGAATATTAGTTCGAATATTAGTTTAATATCGAATATTATTTCAATATTAATCCTTACAGTACAAACGAGACAGTTTAGCGCGACGTTATCACTGAGTGTATTCTACTTCATCGTTTATGTTATTTTTCTTTCCAAACGCTTAATGACATTTGCTACTTTAAAATACTTCTTTCAGAAGATATAAATAAATCAAAAAATATTAAATATATCCGGTATGGTTTTCTAAATTTGGTTATTACAGTTAACTGGACATTCTTGCTTTTAAAATATTAGAAATTGAAGAACTTCTTTTGATTTGATATGCTGCAATAAATATCTAATTTGAAGAAAAAATAAAATATTTTTGTTCAGTTATTTTCTTCTCTGATGATTAGAATGTAAACTTTTTTTTATGTTAAATTCACTGAATTTTTTCTTGATTAAAATTTCATTAAAGTATTAAAACTTGATTGCAAAGTAAAAGTAGAACAGATTCAATTATAATCGAATTACAACTACTTACAATTGAAAAACAAACCCGATCGAGTTTTCCGGATAATCAGTTTGAAAGAATCAAATTTGTAATCGTGTTATAAGTCAAATAGAAATTAAATTAAGTTTTCAAATATAGATGTTTATTACGTAAAAGAATAATTCGAATAATCGATAGATATTTTAAAACTTCTAGTATGTAGCTTGACCTAATTTATCATTTCCTGTTTTCAACCTTCTGTATGGATGAAAATTCTTTGTATTACCTAATTTTAATATTTTGTAATTTTAATAATCTTAATTCACTATTTCTGACATCGCTAATTGTCAAGCTCTTCTAATTATTATGTTCTATCGCTAAATTAGAAGTATTTTCGCCCAATTTTAAACGTACTTTATTTAAACGTCAATATCTAGTTCACTCTTTAATTTCAGCACCACTCTTTTTCTTTTAATATACTCACGGTATAAAAGAATACATGTCTCCAAATATAAACATTGCTAAACCTCCAGTTCAAACATATACATACATATAATTAGATGATTCTGTATTGTTCTGCACACTACTGTATGTCATTAAAACTATTTTGTGATATTCCTTCTTATAACATGTATATAGTAAGTCTATAAATATGTAAATTAACTGTAAAAGTGAGCTACTTATTGGGTCATCTTTATGACGCTTTCTACGTTTAAAAATAGGCATTGTTACTGTTGTCGAGGCTTTGAAAAAATTGAAACAGGAAGCTCAGCAGAAAAGATAATGAAATGTAAAAATATTGGAATATTGATCGATTGCTAACAGATTCGTGGAGTAATCCAGATTAGATGATGAATGCAATGATCTAATATTAGTAGAGCTGAATTAATCTTTCAATTTTTATCTTCATAAAAGTCAAGTAATATTTCATTTAAGATTCTCAAAATCCAAAAATCATCAACTAAATTTTAAAAGAAAGCAATTTTGGTCCATTTATACCAAATAATAATTCTCTGTGCTTCGTGCGAATTTACTCGAAAAATTCACTTTTTTCCTTTCGTTTCGTTCAAATAAATAATGCGAACGCGTCGATATCGTGCTGTGTCGTTGAGCGAGTGATAATCCTTAGCCCACAACGAGCATTTCGTTCGAAGCCTCGTTCAGGAAAGCGATGTTTTCATCAAAAAAAAAAAAAAAAAAAAAAGAAAGAAAAAAGAGGAAAAAACAGACGTGCATTCTTGCGAATATACGTGCGCGTAAATACACGACGATAGCGAAACCGCGACAATAAAACGCTGATTTATAGGGAACGAGGAAAGCTTACGTTATAATCGCCGAGGGTTATCTGAAACAGTGCCATCCAGGTCGAGTGATAGGAACTGTAGAGGGATGACTTCACTCCCGGGAAGCCTTTATACAAGAAGTAGAACGACTGGCAGAAGCCGAACAGCACCACCATGTAGATTATCCCGAAGGTCAACATGTCGCCGGTTATCATACTGTAGATCATTGTAACGAATGGACCGGTCAGCCGGACAGCGCTGTTAAAACAAAATCGAAAGATTACACAAAAGTGTACAACAGCCGTACGATAATGATGAATTGAAACGCATCGGCGATCAGATACCGCGGTCGAGCATCGTTCGGCACATACATACGATGAAATTGCGCACAGATTTCATCGCACGTCCTCCTGCAGGTGTGCAAACAGCGAAACCACGGCATCGACAAAGCGGAATAGTTGTTGGTTATCACGTGAGAAATAATAGTCCGATACGAGCAATGGAATGCTGTATTGTCATAAAAAGTGTCAAATGTTGAAGTGACCAGATGTGAGACGTTAGAAGATTAGAGAATTTTATTGAATTACTAGGAATAATACAGCATTAATTACTAGAATTAATATAACGTAATATGACGTAAGATAAATAAATTGCATAGGATGTCTCGAATTTAAAGGGATATTCTGTGGTAATTCGGTTTGTCTTCGACTTCTTTGGGATTTTTTTTTTTTTAAGGAAACCATGATACGTTTTGGTATACAGTTTTCGCACGCAGATTTATTCATACTTGAAGAGTATTTACAATTTTTTTTTTTTTAACGAAATTAACGAAAGTCGTGGAAATTGTATAGCCTTAGGTAAAGCATGTTTTTAAAAACGAGTTAGAATGGTTGACGTGATTACGATTCATCTGTTTATTTGAAACTAAAAAACCAAAATGCATCTTAATTAGTATAAATATTGCATGAACCACAGGAAACAGCGAAATTTCGAGAATTAAAAAAATAGCAGCATTTTGAAGTTTAAATATCGATTTTCCTGCTTTTCGTCTTTGGTTGGTAAACAGAAATAGAAAAAAACATTAGATTTTGAAATCCGTGGTTCATGCGATAAAGGTACATCCGGTGAAAATCTCCTCCAAATTTCAAGTCATCAACTAAAACATGAGATATCCCGTCAGCAAAAAATAAGAATCTGAGAAAAACACATTCGAAGTTTCTGTTAGCCGTTGTACAAAAATATTCACACTTACAATCAATTGAGTAGGACAAAAAATAGAATATTATAAAATATTAATAACATAAAAGTAAATAATAATATTATAAAATGAAGTATTTTTTGAGAAAAACACATTTGAAGTTGTACAAAAATATTCATATTTACGTTGCGAGCAGTACACCGTTTCCTTTAAATATCTGTAACTTTGTTAATTTTACGAATTCAAACAAATCCTTTTACATAGACATTTTCGAAAGCATATACTTTGAGAAAATGTAAAAAAAAATTGATTTTTCTAAGTCGGATTACCAGAATACCCCCTTAAATGTTAAAATTTTTAAAACCGCGGGGAAAATCGCAAAAAAAAAAAAAAATAAAAATTGTTTTAATTTTCTCACTTATTCAATAAAACTGTACCAATCAACTTATAAGAGTAACTAGGAGACCACATTGTATGCTGTAGTGCATCAAACAGAACAACCAGAACAATGTTTAGCTACAATCAGAGTGGTTAGTGTATACTCATGTATGTGTCCACTCATGAAAAATAAATAATGTTAAAATTTGCTGCCCTCGAAACTATTCAAATTCATTTGAGACATTTTTCCGATGATAACGATAACAATGTCACTTAAACTACCAGAGTCAAGTAAGACACTTTATATAAATCATAAAATATGCTTTAAAATATTTTACATTACAAAAAGATGTATCAATAAAATTAGAACTTTAAAGTTCGTTTATCAATTTATAATTAAAATATCATAATCCAAAAATTTATAATTGAACATCTGAATTTAATCATGATATAGTACAAGAGAGATAGATAAAGGAAAATTATCAGAATATCTGTATATAGCGTTATATAAATTTTATATCTTCAGTCTCGTTATATGCAAAGTAATAATTATTGAAATTTACAAATTGTAAAAGTAAAACAGAAAGCGCATATATTTTGACACAAAGTTCAAAACATCACAACGATAGAAAAAGTTTCGTAAATCTTTCGTAAATTTCTGATTATATTATAATTTAGAGTTACTAAATTAAACTAATTGTAAATAAGAAGGAAAAAGAGAAGAAGAAAAGGTGTATTCAATGTTCGTCGACGTGAAAAATATAAATTCGCGATCTTCAAAAAGTGTTTCACATCGTTTCAGTAATTTTCTCTCTATTTTCTTTTCACTTTGTTTCGTATTTCAAAGAGACTCGCTTCCCAGCGACACGTAGCTTTAACAATGACGAAGCGTCACTGTCATTGCGATATCGATGAAGTCTCGTGTTCCTTTCAAAGGTATCCGTGCATCGTACAACAGATATTGATCCTTTCTGTATTTACTGTCAACGGATGCAGCCGTATATACCATGAACCTGTTTAACGTCAGTTTGTAGATAGGAAGGCAATGACTGGCGTTTGATTCCTGAATGTATAACACGATTATGAAGACACTGATCTTCCATTGTTCTCAGTAGTTCGTTAAAACTGTCCGAGAAACGTAAAACATGAAAGTAAAACTTATCAGATAATTTGAAGGAAGGTCAATATCAAATAATTTGTCAATTTATTATCACAAGTATAGAAGTAAGATGATGAAATGAGTGATATTTTTTAAATCGAATGCATAACTATTTTGTTAACGTAGAAAAAATAATTACATTTCAGATAACAAGAGTCTAAAGAATAATAGTCTGAAAGAAAAATACAATTTGGCTAATTTGGTTTTAAATTCGTAATAATTTTTATAAAGATCTTTATTATATACTATAATATAGATCTAGAATATAGAAGATATAATATTTATAATATAATATAGTATAGTATAGTATTTATAATATAATATAGTATAATACTATAACTATAATATAGAAGATATAATATTTATAATATAATATAGTATAGTATTTATAATATAATATAGTATAATACTATAACTATAATATAGATCTAGAATATAGAAGATATAATATTTATAATACTACGATTCTCAATCTGTAATTCATCGCAATTCTAAGCAAGCATTAAAAGTGATAATTATAACAAAATCAATCAATTTTATTTAAAATGTTAATTATTTTAAAACAATGGGTCTGATTTTTTGAGAATTTAAATTAATTTAATTCGTATTTTATTCTGCATATTTAAAGGATACTATACATATATAAGGAAATAACATGTATATACAACTATATACAACTTCTACACATCCATTTCAAATCTCTCGAAAGTACAATATTTTTCTTTAATATAAATTTAATATCTTATATTTTTCTTTAATATAAATATAACATTTATGTCGTTTAATCGATACCTCCAACATTTTCATCATTGCCAATCATGCTATGTGCTTACTTATCTGACCTTGAAGACCTGTTCAAATGGCGTTTATCAAAAATATACACGATGAAAGAAAATTATTTGTCACGACCAGCATACGGTAAAGATCTGTTAAAAAAAAAAAATTTGCCGCAAAATACACCTTGACCTTGAGTTTCAAAGTCAAACCTTTTTATCGTTGCATCGTAATCTACTTATCGAGAGGAAGAGTGGATTCGTGGAACCATGAAATGGAATCGGAAATGAATCGTTCTCTTGGGAAATGATGTTCAAGTTCCAACAGTACTTAATGTTACTTCATTTACAATTTGCTTTTTTTTTATAATCAGATCTCTCTCTCTCTCTCTCTCTCTCTCTCTCTCTCTCTCTCTCTCTCTCTCTCTCTCTCTCTCTCTCTCTGTCTCTCTCTGATAATATGTTACTCGTAGACATAAACAAATTAATGACTGCAATAATCGTTAACTTCTGCAATAATCGTTTCCAAAATGTCCACATCTCTTCCAGCAGGCTCCACAATTTATTTGGGAGCCACATAATAACTTTAGGCAGCGAATATAATTGCAAACGACGCGATACGACGTCGACCCATGTTCAGGAACTTCGAATGCTGTCCCGATTTATAGTACGACTAGGGATCGTACTATACAGGGTGTCCGTAAAGTCTCTTTACAATTTCAAAAATTTATTATAAAGGCAAATGATGGGATATCTTCATCAGATTTGTTCCATGTATTCAGTGGTCTTTATCACACTTCAGGTACCATGTTGATGAATAAGATGAATAAGATCTTACAAAATGGCTACTTCTCAAAAGAAGGCGCCGTGTGTACCATGGTTTATTGAAACTAAATCGGATCTGCAGACTCGACAGCGAAACTTGAGAATTAAATATGGAAGAGATCCATTGTCACGTCCATCAATTCGTGCATGGCACAAGAAATTTATGGAGACAGGGACAGTGTTCGATAAAGGGAGGAGTGGACGACCAAGAACATCTGAGGAAAACATCGATCGTGTAAGAAATCGAGTACTGTCTTGATGTGCTTCGTGCAACTAATGGTGCCCATATAGAGGTGTATTAAATGAGGCAAAAATAAAACTTAAATATATACGTCTCAATTTGTAATAATTTTCACTTATCTATTTTTTCATTTGCCTTTGTAATAAATTTTTGAAATTGTAAAGAGACTTTACGGACACCCTGTATATTTTTTAAGAGAAAATTTTAAAGAGACTCTATATTTTTTAAAGCCACTCTATATTTTTTAATCGTAATAAAGTAAGACACTATATTTTTTAAAAAGAAACCTCAGTAAGAAGTTTGGGGCATTGCTGGCTCATTAGAACCGAAAGTTATTCGCATCTCGATAGTGCATAGAAATGGCGAAATCTGACCCTATTTTTTTTATTGACAGAACGATCCCCTTCACTGTATTGATTTCTCCATTTTAACTTTGGCTGTTAAAGTTGAAGAAAGACCGGGAAAAATCTGAAAAAGAATATAAATAGACTGTAACTAATTTTTCACTCTAATTTTGTAAACTTGTAGACAGAGTTGGGACCAATTTCTCTAGTTGGAACTAACTTTCCAGTCAACCGAAAATATTTAAATAAAATGCGCTCCGCACAGAATTAACAAATATAAAAGCTTCAGAATCCGATGAAAAGGGAAACGAGGGAGTCTTTCTCAATTTTTCATCAGGAG